ACCCTACCTCCCTGGGAAAACCCATGGTGTGAGGACTTGGCATCTGGCAAGGGACAGCTCCAGGGCAGCCTGGAAGAGATGGAGCAGCAGGACAAACTAAGCCCTAGAGACAGAAAAACAGAGTCAGAAACAGTCTATGAAATAGGAACAAAGAGAAACACATACAGAGATGGAGCCTTAGAAAGAGACAGGAGGGGATGGAGAGAGACCTAAGGAGGAGAGAGAGACAAGTGGGGGAGGGAGAGAGAGACAGAGGAAATGAGAACATCAGGTAGAGACACGCAGAGAAAAAGAGAGTCACAGAATAAGAAAACCAGGGAGACCGAGAGTCAAAAAGAGACAGACACAAACCCAGAGAGAATCAGGGGGAGAGAGAGAGAAAGGGAAACATGACGAAGAGAAACAGGAATACACAGAGACAGAGACCCATAGACAGATGGACAGAGAAACGGAGGCGGGGAAACAGAAACAAAATGACAGAGAGAATGAAACAGAGAGAGGAGGTAGAAATGTACAAAGATAATCAGTCACAGACACAGAGAGACAGCTAGCAAGGTAGAAGGTTAGACATTGTCAGTTCATAGTAACAGGAGCAGAAAGAATTATAGCTTTTTTTATATAATGGAAAAAAGGGCATACAATCAATATTTATCACCGGTCTTCTGGTCCTGAGAGGCTGGGGACTCTGACACCCCAGATCTCCTGTGTCTTTTACACCTTTATTCTGACTCAGTTTCCCTGATGGGTCAGAGTCCTCAGAAACCATGTGGCTCCCTGGGGGCAACTGACCGACAACTCTTTGAGTTCACCCTTGAGTCCCTGGGAACACATCTCTGGGTGCCCAACCCTCCACCCCAGACCCTGGTGCGCACACACAGACGCACGTCAACTAGGCGCCTAGCAGACAGACGTTCACTCACAGGTCTGGTTCCAGGCAGCCTTGCCTCACAAGCCAGCGCGCACACAGTCACACCCACAGCACGCACGTGTGTGCGTTTCACCCCATCTGCCAGTTGCTGAGATATGTATGTATGTCCCTAGAGGGCCCAGCCCAGAGACAGACGGATTCTCGAGACAGGAGGGGTCCGGCTGTGGGGAGGGGCAGTGTGGGGGTGACTGGGGAAGGTAAGAGGAAGAAGATGAGGAGGTGAGAGGAGAAAGAGGAGGAAAGAGAAGTGGGGAGAAAGAAATGATGGAGAGAAACTGGGAGACGTAGAAACGGGGAAAGAGATGAGGGTAGCAAGTGAGAGATGAGGAGAAATTTAGGGTTGGGGTGAAAGAGACAGAGAGAAAAGCAGGGATAGGGGAGGAGGGGGATAAGGGGAACCCCCAAGAGAAAGAGAGGTGGAAGAGAAAGATCAGGGGGAGGCAAGGGGTGAGAGAGAAAGGGAAAAAGAGAGAGAAGAAACTGTGAGAGGCTGTGAGAGGAGGGGCCCATGGACGGACGAGACACCTAGCGGAGGAGGGGTGAGGGCAGACATGGGAGCCTGGGAGGGAGGCCCATCTGGGTGAGGGGGGTGGGGGCAATAGCGGGAAGAGGGTGGAGTCACTGCTGGGCCGTGACCTCAGAGCCCCTGGCCCAGCTTAGCCTGACGTCAGCGCCTGCTCCCGCCCCCGCCTGGGCTAGTCTTCAAATGACCCCCCTCGGGGCTCCAGCCACAGAGAGAGGACGGGGAAAGCCAGACAGAGAAGAGAGAGCCCAGCCGACCACCGCCTCAATGAGACAGGTGTGTGTGTGTGTGTGTGTGTGTGTGTGTGTGTGTGTGTGTGTGTGTGTGTGTGTGTTTGACACTGCGGCCATGTGGAGAAACGACTACCATGTGTGTAGCCACATGTGTTGGTAAGCCGTGTATGTGATTATACTTGTATTTGTGTGCGTGTGTTTTCATGTGTGTGCTCGTGACCATATGTGTGTGAGGACTGTGACCTGAGAGACTTAGGGGGCGGGTTTCCATCTCTGGGTGTATTCTGCCACATATGGGTGGCTGTCTCACGAACACGTATGTGAGACATGACACATCCATATTTTTGTATACGTGTATCTTGCCACAGATCCATGTATGTCTCTATTCCCTAGGACAGGGAGAGAGAAAGAGAAGGAGTGAGAAACTGAGAGCTGTAACAAATGGGTATGAATTTCTGTTGTATATGTCCAGTAAGTCTGAAGTTGAGCTCAATGAAATCTCCGATTTTCAGCCACTCTTTTTTTTGTTTTTTGTTTTTTTTTTTGAGTTGGAGTCTCACTTTGTGACCTGGGCTGGAGTGCAGCGGTATACTCACGGCCACAGCAGCTTTGACCTGCTGGGCTCAGGTGATCCTTCTGGATCAGGCTTCCAAGTAGCCACAGGTGTGTGCCACCACGACCGGCTCATTTTTTGATTTATTGTAGAGACGAGGTTTCGCCAACTTGCCCGGGCTGGTCTCGAATCCCTAAGCTCAGGTAATCTTCTTGCTTCTGCCTCCCAAACTGCTGGGATTACAGACATGAGCCACCGTGCCTGGCTTTTCAGTGGTAAAAATGGCAATTTAATCTGGTACAATATCATCTTAACTTTACTGCTTTCTCCTGAAATCCTCTTTGTCTGGCTGTTGCCCCAAACACCCGGGTGGGTGTCTGTCGTCACATGGGCATCTCTCTGTGGTGTTGTGTCTTCCTTCTGAGGGGTGTGCACCTGCAGGTTCACCTGTGTGGCTGTTGGTGGGGGTCTCAGGGTCGTTGTTGGGCCTTGAGAGTGGGTGTCCAGGGTCATCTTGTAGTAGGAGTGTATGAGTGTCTTCACTCTATGTGTTGTTTGTCATGTGTGAGGTCACATACATGTGTTCATCAGTGTTGCTGGAATTCCAACTCTACTTTGTCAATTTGTCAAACCTAATGTCAACCCTGGATCCCTACCTGTTTTGGGAATGCCTAGCACAAATTGGGCCAATCTGGGAATTCAGACAGGACCAGGTTCTAGAAAAAGAATAATCATTTTTTTTTTGAGTCAAGATCTCGCTCTGGTGACCAGGCTGGAGTGCAGTGGCATGATCAAGGCTCACCGCAGTCTCCAAATCCTGGACTCACACAATCTTCCTGCGTCAGCCTACCAAGTAGCTGGGACAACAGGCACATGCCACCACACCCAGCTAATTAAAACAGAATTTTTTTTTGTAGAGATGAGGTCTCACTATGTTGCCCATGCTGGTCTCAAACTTCTGGGCTCAAGCGATCTTCCTGCCTCGGCCTCCCAAATTACTGGGATTACAGGCATGTGCCACTGCACCAGGCCTAGAAGAAAGAAGGATAATTGTTAATAATGATCTATTAAAGCCGGGCTCAGTGGCTCAGCCTGTAATCCCGCACCTTGGGAGGCTGAGGTGAGTGGATTGCCTGAGCCCGCGGGTTCAAGACCCACCTGGGCAACTTGGTGAGACCTCATCTCTACAATAAATAAAAAAATTACCTGGGTGTGGTAGCGCACACCTGTAATTCCAGCTACTTGGAAAGCTGAGGTGGAAGGATGGCCGGAGCTCAGCAGGTCGAGGCTGCGGTGGCCAGGAGCGGCCACTGCACTCCAGTCTGGGCAACAGAGTGAGACTCCAACTCAAAAAAAGAATAATGATCTATTAAAAACTCCACTTCATCTCTGTCCTATAGAAACATAACTTAAGCCACGATATACGATTTAAAAATTTCTATTAGCTACATATGAAGCAATAAAAAGAAAGTGGTGAAATTAATTTTAATAATATATTTTATTAAATTCAGTGTGTCAGGAGTTGGCAAAACTTTTCTGCAGAAGGCCAGATTGTAAATATTTGAGGCTTTGGGAGCCATAAAGTCTCGCCTGAAATGACTCAATTTTGATATTGAAGTGTGGAGTCAGCCACAGACAGCATATAACAAATGAGTGTTATTGTGTGCAAATAAAACTTGATTTTAGGACACTGGAATTCGAATTTCATATACTTTTTTTTTTTTTTGAGTTGCTCCCGGCCACTGCAGCCTCGGCCTGCTGGGCTCCAGCGATCCTTCCGCCTCAGCCTTCCAAGTAGCCAGAATTACAGGCATGCGCTACCACACCTGGCTGATTTTTTTATTTATTGTAGAGATGAGGTCTCGCTGCCCAGGTGGGTCTCGAACCCGTGGGCTCAGGCAATCCACTCACCTCAGCCTCCCAAATGCGCGGGATTACAGGCTGAGCCACCAAGCCCGGCTCTTCATAAACTTTTCATATGCTACAAAATATTATTCTTCTTTTGACTTTTAAAAATCATTTAAAAATGTAAACAATTTTCTTAGTTTGCAGGTTTCAGGGTTTTAGCAGTGCCAATCTCTGTTATGTATAAAAATATGATCATTTCAACGTGTAGTCAATACAAAAATATTAATGAGATATTTTACTTCCTTTTCCTCAGACTCAGGTTTCAAAATCCAGTGTGTTTATAGGACACCTCATTCAGGTGCTACATTTTTACTGGAAACACTAAATCTTTAGATTTTATAAGTTTACTGTTGAAAAAGCAGCACAGGCTAGGTGTGGTGGCTCATGCCTGTAATTGCAGCTCTTTGGGAGGCCAAGGCAGAAGGATCATTTGAGGCCAGGAGTTCAAGACCAGCCTGGGCAACACGAGAGACCCCCATCTCTCTCTCTCTTTCTCTTTGTTTTTTTGAGTCAGAGTCTCACTCTATCACCCAGGCTGGAGTGCAGCAGCACACTCACGGCCACCCTAGCATCAACCTGCTGGGTTCAGGTGATCTGCCTCAGCCTTCCAAGCAGCCAGAACTACAGGCGTGCACTAACATGCCCAGCTAACTTTAAAAAAAAAAAAAAAAAAAAAATATATATATATATATATACACACACACATATATATATTAGAGACAAGGTCTCATCAAGTTGCTGAGACTGGTCTCGAACCCCTGGGCTCTGGTAATCCTCCTTGCCTCGACCTCCTAAAGTGCTGAGATTACAGGCTTGAGCCACTCCATCTCTATTTTAAAAATAAATAAATAAGGACAGAAAAAAAAAGAAGCACCATATAGCCCCAACTTGTTCCCAACATACTTAAAAACTTTCCAATAACTGAATCAATGATCAGGTTTTCAATTTAAATTAAGATTAAATGAAATTTAAAAGCCCATTCCTCAGTCGCGCTGGGTGCATTTTAAGTGCTCAGTAGACACGTGTGGCCAGTGACACCTGTATTGGACATCAAATATCTATAGCTTAGTGACTCGTGTAACTCATGATAAGCCAATGAGGCAGGAACTGATAGACACTTCAGCATAGAGAGGGATGCCAGTGCCAGGCTGCCTGGTTTTATTTTATTTACTTATGTTCAAATTTAGCATTTTTTATTTTATCATTTGTGGCTTTCTTCTTTCATTTTTTATTTTATTTTAAAGATGTGGGGTACAATTCAGGGTTAGGGATACAAATGCTGATTACGCATGTACCCTTGTTGATGAGGTATGCCCCTCCCTCCCCTAGCAGTTTCCCTCAACTGCCAATCCCACCCCACTCCCCTGACAGTTTCCCATGACTGCCAATTCCTTTCTTATAGTATTATGATCATTGCTGAAAGTCCACTTATGAGTGAGAACATATGGTACTCTGTTGTTTCTGTGATAGATCACTGAGTATGATTGACTTTAAATCCATCCAAGCTGCTGCAAAGTCCATATGTTTGTCCTTCTTGATGGCTGCATAAAATTCCATTGTGCATATGTACCACATTTTTTAAAATTCAGTCTAGCTTCGATGGGCAGCATGGTTGGTTCCATGTTTTTGCTATCGTAAAGAGAGCTGCAACAAACATAAGTGTGCAGGTACCTTGTTTGTAGAATGATTTGAGTTCCTCTGGGAATATTCCCAGTAGGGGAACTATTGGATCATATGGAAGGTCAATTTCTAGTTCTTTCAGAAATTGCCACACTGTCTTCCAAAGAGATTGCACTAGTTTACATAGGCTGCCTGATTATAAAACCGAATTCCTCTTCGTAATTGTGAGTGACCTTGGGCAAGAGAATTCATCTCTGTGTGCCTCAGTTTCCTTATCTGTAATCGGGAGAGAGTAACAGTACCTGCTGTTTTAGAGCAGTGTCTGGCCCACAGAAGTGCTAAATACCCATTTTACAGATGAGAAAATGGAGGCAGGCTTTTTCTCTGATTCTGGGCTCTTCTGGCAACACTTCCTGGGCACCTGGCCCTGCCAGGTAGCAGAGTAGAGAAAAAAGAAGAACCAGGCCATGCCTCTAGAAAGTCAGAAAGAAGCCTCCTTCACCCGTGAGCTGTTGACCTTGTTCAAACCACATCTCTGGCGAATCAGGCCTCAGTTTTGCCATCTGGATAGTGGCAGCAAACACTGCCTGACCCCGGGGGCTCTCCTGAGGGATAAACCAGTATACAAGGTTGAGGTTTAGGGATTCGACTCCTAGGGTTCAAATCTGGGCTCCCCTGCTTTCTAGGTGTGAACTTGGGCAGGTCGCTGCACTTCTGTGTGACTCAGTTTCTTCATCTGTAAAATGGGGATGACAACAATAATAATAATACCTACATCATGGGACTGTTGTAAGAATTGAAATTAGTTAGTTCATCTCAAAGGCTTAGAGTAGCGCTTGCTAAATACTATTTTGTGCTGTTCTTTCAGTACATATTATTATTACTGTCTCAACACTAAGGAAACTTTGTGAGAGTAAGCCTTATTTTAAATGCCACTAAGAAAGCAAGGGGGAAACGCCCTGCTAATTAAATTGTGACACTCCATTACGTGTAATCTTCGCGGGTTTAAAATATATTAAACATGTTATTTTTAAAAAAGCATTAGAAGGGATAAAATCAGACCTCAAGCCTAGATAATTGTTTGCCCTAATTATTTTCATTCATGAAGATAATTTTGTAGTGCCCGGGGGAATCTTCTTTACAAAAAGAGAAGGTTATCATCCAGCTTTGGGGAGAAAAACAAAAACAAAAAACCCTGGAGGTCTTCTGGAGGAGACGCTCAGGATTCAACCCCCTTTCTCTCCCCTTGGGCTCCCAGCAGGACGCGCCCAAGCCCATCCCGGCCGCTCGCCGCTGCTCCGGCCTGGCCCGGCGGCTGCTGACCATCGCCTTCGCCCTGCTCATCCTGGGCCTCATGACCTGGGCCTACGCCGCCGGCGTGCCGCTGGCCTCGGATCGCCACGGCCTCCTGGCCTTCGGCCTCTACGGGGCTTTCCTCTCGGCTCACCTGGTGGCGCAGAGCCTCTTCGCGTACTTGGAGCACC